GGTTCAGAGCTAAATCGGCAAGAGGGCTGAGGGGAAGATAGGTTTGGGGCATTATAATATTGTTATTAAAGTGATCCCTGTTCCATGGTTGAAGATACGGATGAGCAGATAGAAAAATCATCCATAGTCCAAGTACCCAGAAATAATCACCATTAGCGTTTGGTGTATCCCAAAGGTCCTGGTGTCTACTTGTTTGTCCAACCCCTGATACACGTCATCCTAGAAGAGTTTATCGCTACCTAGCTAGCTCAAGTTATATACTGCACTTTCCCTTTTACATAAATGGATCACTTCAGTTGGTGCTTACCCATAATGAATGAGACACCTGTATCGAGATGTCCAGAGGTGTGTCACACATGCTGGACTCACTTAAAATGCGAGAAAATGACAAACTCCAAACTCAGTGCAGCGATTATCTCTGGGGTAGGTGGAGGGGAAGGGAGGGGAGCACAAAAGAGGCTTCACCTGTATTGGTTCGTGTTTTATTTATTAAGCTGAATGGTGGGTACATTGTTATTTTTTGTGTTTTCCTCTTGTTGTATTTTTGTTATTCTTTATACCTTTTCATATTTTTTAAATGGTGCGTAATAAATGTTAAAATACTGATAATGAAATAAAATGTGGGATTAAAAACAACACTTTTTTAAAATGTAGGACTTGAGCCTAGAAAAGAGTTTGAAGTTAGGTATCGATCAAAACTTCAAGTTCCTCTAGGGGTCCTGGCAGTGAGGCAAGTGGCTGAGGCTGTCTGGGTGGGACAGCAGGAAGCTAACGCAGCTGGCCGGGGGCGCCGGGGTGGGGGTGGGGGGGCGGCACTCCCTCAAGTCCTGCCGGATGCCTTTGGAAGAGAAGCAAAGGACATAGCAAAAGCATGATTAGAAGAGAAGATTAGTAGGGAGAAGAGCTGGGTGCAGTGGCTCACACCTGTAATCCCAGCACTTTGGGAGGCCAAGGCATGAGGATCGCTTAAGGCCAGGAGACCCAGACTCTGCAAAATTTTTGAAAATTAGCCGGGCGTGGTGCGCATGCCTGTAGTCCCAGCTACTCGGGAGGCTGAGGCAGGAGGATTGCTTAAGCCCAGGAGTTTGAGGCTACAGTGAGCTGTGATTATGCCACTGCACTCCAGCCTCGGCAACAGAGTGAGACCCTGTAGGGAGAGGATGGGGATTATCTCCCATAACAGCAAAGCAAGAAGAGATTTTGAGGATGGGATGGGCAGTAGGGTCCAACTCTACAGGAAGATCAGAGGTGATGCACTAGGGAAGTAGGTCCTTGGTGGCCTCTAAGTGTGTCAGTGGGTAGAAGCCAGCTTGTCGGTATTTAAGGAGTGGTGAGGAAGAAGAGGCAGCCCGCATGAGCTGTGCCAGGAAGCCAGGAGAACGCAGGAAGCATAAAGTTTTGCGAACTCTTTGGAAAGAAAGCACTGTGGTGTCTGGCAGGTGTACTTGCTCAGGGGCTTGCTTGAAGTCACACGTCCGAGAAAGTTCACTGCAGCATTATGTATATTCACTAAAGCATGGGACAAACTGTCCATCCATGGGGGCCTCACAAGGGAATACTGCACAGCCATCAGAAAGAATGAGACAGGTGTGTTTTCACATGAAAGATACATCACAGGGGCTGGGCACGGTGGCTCACGCCTGTAATCCCAGAGCTTTGGGAGGCTGAGGCAGAAGGATCGCTTGAGGCCAGAAGTTAAAAGTTGCAGTGAGCTTGCATCACCACATTCCAGCACAGAGTGAGACCCTGACTCTAAAAAATAAGAAGAATAAATAAAATAAAATAAAATTCATACCCATATTAACCAATTATTAACTGATTCTTCCACTGATGCCTGAAATGTTGCCAAGAGACACTGGCCTAGGTAAGTGGGGCCCGCCTGTTTACTCCTCCTTGTGGGGGTGACAGGTTAATTCTGATTCTCCTGCATGACAGGTAAGAAGATAAAGAAGCACAGGCTGTCTAAGAGACAGAGATAAATGGGCAGAAGAGGTTGGAAGATGTCATACTAGACATGACTCTTTCCATAAGAAATAACGTAAGGGCTTAAATGAAAAGGGAATTTACTGGCTTTATAGCTGAAAAGTCCAACGGCAGAATCAGATTTAGAAATCTGGCCCGGTCAAGTCCAACAGTGTCCTGGTTTCTCTCTCACTGACTCAGCGGTGACCTCTCTGGTCTTGGCTCTGTTCCCAGGTCCAATTCATGATCACAAGAGAGCTGCAACACCTCAGATATCACACACCCTTGTTTCTTCTGAACTCATGGTTTTAGACGTGTGAACTCCCAAACCTACGTATGTATCCAACTCCGACCTTGCCCGAAATCCAGACCCATATCAACTGCCTACTCAGTACCTCCACTTTGAAGTCTAATCAGTGTCTCAAACTTTACTATATTAAAGTAGCTTTGGATTCTCCAAGAGAAGAACATATACTGCCTTTATCAAACCTACTTCATCATAGAATCCCTTTTTACAAGGATCACCTGTGAGCATGCAGGAACATAAACTTTGTGGAACACGATTTGGGAAAAATTAGGTCAGGCTATCTCCACAATTCCCTCCAGTTCTCAAAGACTGTGATTTGGGGATTTAGCAGAGCAGCAGTAAAACAGATGGAGCATGATTTTAAAACAAGGATTTTTAAAACTTTCATGAGGGGGTGCTGGTGTAATAACATCGCTAAAAGAATCCGTGTCTGACGTCGCACGACGTAGAACAGAGGGGAAGCCAGTTCCCGAGTCAGCCTCAAGCTTCGGCTGTCACTCACAGCTCTAAGGAAGCAAAGCGGTGCTGCCTCAAACTGCCAAAGCCATTAGTAGCTTGTTCTGCGAGGAAAACTCCATCCAACTAAAGATGTGTTTTCCGAAATGACTAAACTGTCAACAAGTTTTGTTTTTGTTTTTTTTTTAAGACAAGGTCTCACTCTGTCACCCCAGCTACAGTGGCATGCCATCATCATAGCTCACTGCAACCTCAAGCTCCTAGGCTCAAGCGATCGATCCTCCTCCCTTGGCCTCCCAAAGTGCTAGGATTTAAAGGCATGAGCCACCGAGCCCAGCTGCTGTGGGAAAGTTTTTACAGCAGAACATTTTGACCTTTAGCCCTTAACTCAAAACCAAAAGTACACAATTCCTTCTTAGGACTTTGATAGATTTTTCCCTTGGAAAGAGACATCTAGGCCTATATTAGTCACCATTCTCCAGAGAAACAGAACCAACAGTGTATATACACATATACACACACACACATACACCCATAGATAGAAAAAAGATCTATTATAAGGAATTGGCTCACATGATTACATCCCGAGATTCAGCAAGCCGGAGACCCAGGAGAGCCAACGTGTAAGTTCCAACCCAAGAGC